TTAAGTGGGAGAACTTGCACAGTTGGTGGCTGACTAAATACTTTTTTGCCCCACTGTATCTGTGGTACACCTCCAAATTATTTTCGGCACTGTTTGTTTATTTTAATGAAGGTGCTACCAGACTCCTCCTGATGGTCAGTCTGCTATTCAAAGCTTTTTGATCAGACATCAGATCAAAAGCTAGAAATAAGCTATCTTCCCTTACACAGCAAGGGAGCTTCACAAGCTTTTTAAAATTTTGTTTTGGAACTCCTTCCACTCTGTCCCAAATCTCTGAAATTCAGTCCAAATTCAGATACTGGGAGCAGAAGGGACAGGTAAGTAGATCCAGGTGAGTGGGTTTGATTCTTTCCTTCCTGCAGGCAGACCACTTGGAAACAACCTGCAGAGGGCCTTCTTGCGCGCCCGTCTCGCGGAGGGACTCACCTGTGGTGATGTATTCTGCAACAAGCTCTGACTCGACCACGGCAATCGATGGACTTTCTGGAGAATGCTGCTTCTCCTGGGTCATCTGGATCGGGACGGCCATTTGACTTAAGTCGATGGTTGCCTGCCTGGGCTTGGTTTCCAACTTCTCTTTTACTGTTGCGGCAAAAACGGAGGGGATGAAGTAACAGGCCTGGGGGGTTGATTGTCTACAGGGGTGTCTTCAAGTCTTGGTCCAAAAAGTCAAGATGGCAGCCACGACGCACCTAAAGAATGGGCGGAGTGTCAGTCGTATCGCCGTGCTCGCCATCTTGATTTTCTGGACCACACCCTGTGGACACTCCTGTCTATTTGTTTCAAGGATTCTTCAAACCACAAAGCTGAAAGAGATCTCACAAGTCATCCAGCCCAACTGGCCAGCCAACGATCAGTTCAGAAAATCCACAGGATAATTCCCTGGTAGGTTTTGGGCACTGAGAATGTAAGACTAGCAGGCCCAAGCTCATCTTAGTCCAGTCTTTGGCTTCTAGTGGCCAACTCGATGCTTCTATGTTGCTCAAAAGTAGAAGGTGGAGATATCTCCTTGTCCTGCCATTGTCCCCATGCAACTGGTACTCGAAGGCATCTGCCCACCTTCTAGAGTTAACACTGAAGCTCACTTGCTCTCCTGAAATCCTAACAAGAAAATAATGGGAAGTTGCATTGCGAATCCAACCGTGTCCACCTGAGCGCTTTCTGCTCTTGAAGCACACAGAAAGGCAAATTCAAAAGAGTTTCTACAAGGCAACTGGGGTAAAACTGAGGTTTGTTATATTCACCTGTCGTTTGCTGGAGCTCCAACAAGGCTTTAATTGTTGATGTTGCTGATTGAGATTCACCAGAGACATCTTGGTAGATTATGGTTGGGCTGGAATCGACGGCAATTTCGTGTTCTGACCAATCCTGGCTTCGAGAAGCAATGACATGGACCACAGGCTGGGAATCTGAGACAAAGAAAGGGACAGAAGTCTCCCATCAGCCTTGGTTGGCCTCTCTTTGCCAAACCACAGAGAGTTTCACAAAAAAATATCTCTATGGTTTCTCCATGGCCATGTCCCTCTGTTATGCTTGCGGCTGGCCACTCTTCATAACATATTAACAAATGGAAATGGGAGGAAGTCAACACTAACTTGTAATCAAGGATGCTAGTCCAGCAGGGTACATGCTATTCTCAAGATACTTGCATACTTACCATGTCATCTGGGAAACATGGTTGTTGGGGCTTTAAAGGAGTGACAAACACCAGGAAGGACTGCCATTGTAGGTTCTGCTTCCATCTGAACTTAGGTGGTCTTGCTGGTCATGACCTGTACCTGCACTAGGTCTCAACTACCTGGGGACCACAGAGTAGATTTGCATAGTCCTTCCCACCTCAGTTCCACTCATTCCACTCATCACTCCCTGTTCCAGCATTTGGAACCCATTTAGTGATTCAGAAGATGAAAACTGCATGGAACAGACTGAGACCTTGCTTCAGCAATGGGCGTGTGCAGAGTTGGCCACCAAGATCCTTCAAATCCTGGACTACAAGACAGATGGGGAATTCCTCCACTCTCTCACATTGCTGACCTGCAATTCCCAGAATCCCTTTCCAATTTTCCATTTGGGGCAGCTGGAATTATCAACCTGGGGGTCAATATCTGGGGTGCGAAAATGCTCCTAGCTTTGGACTGCAACTTCTATGAACTTCACAATGCTAGCTGGGGCTAATAGGATCTGAAGTCCAGCACAGCCTGAAGGGCCAGAACTTTTTCTCCATGGAAAGACATCTCCAAAATGCTCAAGGGGGATAGAAAAGACATCTCCAGCAAATACCAACCCCACACTGATCACCGAGAGAAATCTCTACGCTGTTCACCTTGGGAACCCTGGGTGGACTCCATAGAAGAGGAACTGCTGTCAGTATACGCCTGGGGCTCTTCCTTCACCTCTGGCAGGAAAGCGTTCCCTGTCTCCACCACACGGGAAGCCTGCTGAAGCGTCTCAGTCACCAGCTGCCTCGCCTGCTCGCTGACCACCGTGGCCTGGAAGGTCACCGGCTTGGGTTTGATAAGGACCTGCAAGGAAAGCAAAGAGTCCTTGCTTAAGGGCTTAGAATTCAGATGCACATCTATCCTACAGCAAATTGGGGCAGCGAAGGGAGAAAGGGCAAACAGAAGCTGTTCTCGCAAGTAATACTGAACAGCAATTACTTGCTTACAACAGGGGTGGGTGCCCTGAACTTCTGCAGGTGTCATGGGTTTTCCTGCACAGTGCAGAGGGTGAGACTGGATACTTGTGGCTCCTTCCAACTCTACCATACTACAATTATTTAATTCTCTGTGTTGTGAGACTTGCCCCCATCTCCAGTGGAGCTGAATCACACAACAGCTCCCTAGTTTTCAAAACACCTTGGAAGAATGTGTTTTGGCTCCAACGTGGCTCATTTAAAGCAACCAAATCACTCCGAAGATACAACATAAATGGATTAAGCATGCAAACAACAAACAGTGTACGCTGGGCTCCCAGCAAACCATTAGCAGCTTGTTGAGCAGCCCTGAGAAAAGCAGAACCACAGCTTATGTACCTTCGGCCTACTACGTTTCGAAGACAAGACAAAGGGAAAGGCAGACACAATGTAAATTACAACATGACGTTGGAATGTGTTTGATAAACCCCTCTGGATGGCCTTCTTATTATTCATCCCTTCCTACTAGGTCAGCAAGTCAGCTACACTCTCTTTGAGATATGGCCAGTGAATATAAGCAATTTGGTTTCCTGGGCTACTGGTCCCTGCCTGATTCCTTCCCCTGTTGCCACTCAGGGTCAATTCAGTGTGCTGAGAATGTTTTCTTACAAGGACACTCTAAGCAGTTCACATGGATGGGGGGGGGGGATCTCTAGGGTTTGGTAATGAATGCGCCTCACAATGTTGGGGGGGTGGGGGGGGTACCTTTTACCACCACAATGGAAAAGTTGCC